AAACTCCTGAACCCTAAACCCCGAAACCCCTAAACCCTAGACCCTGAACCCTACACCCCTAAACCCTAAAGCCTAAACCAAGCACCGGAAGTACATCAAACTAAATCCTAAGCCCTAAACCCTAAACCCTAAACTCTAAACTCTAGCCCCTAATTTACCGGAATTGTTGGACGCCTTTGGCTTGATGCCATGATCTGTACACCTTAAAACCCATGCCCTGAACCCGAACACCATGACATCCTCAAGCCGTAAGACCGCACACCGCGAGACACTTCAAACAGCACACCGAAATTCCCCAGAATAGAATAAGCTCGAACGAACACCCTAAAGCTCTTTAAGCCCCTGAACCCTACACCCTAAACCCTAAACCCGAAAATCTAAACCTACTTATAAACCCAAACCCTAAAACCTAACATTGAAACGCTAAGAATGGAATCACCGGCCGCGGTACACGCCGGCGGCTGCCAAGGCGAACTCGCGCTCGGCAAAGACAGACGAGCTGGCCTGAACAGGGGATTAGGGTGTAGGGTTGCGGGTTTAGGGCTTCGGGTTTCGGGTTTGGGGTTTAGGGTTTGGGGCTTAGGGTATTTTACCTTCAACCCCTAGCACCTCAACCCTTAGGCCCCAACACTCCACTGATCTCAGCCAAGACGCATATTGCTCTGCGGCCCGCCTCGAGATGCTCTTGCAATGGGATTCTGATACTCTAGGTAAGCGTTTGGAGTTGAGGGTTTAGGGTTTGAAGGTTAGGTTTGAGGGTTTTGAGGTTTTGGAGGGCTTGCGGGCTCTGTGGGGTTCCTAGGGGGAACTGGGGAATTCTAGGGCTTGGAGTAACTCATTACCATAATTGCCTTCCTGTTTAGGGTTCAATGGCCAGAGAGCGCAGTGGTAGGCGTGGCCGCCAGGGTCGGGATATAGTTGCAGCCCTATAAACCTACTCATTGTTGGTCAGGGAATTGGGTCCCTTTTGGTTCGTCCCGGAGGTAACTCCTTACACCCCTAAACCCTAAGCCCCTAAACCCCTAAACCCTAAACCCCTAAACCCCTAATTAAACCCCTAAACCCCTGAACCCCTGAACCTCCTGAACCTCCTGAACCCTAAACCCTAAACCCTAAACCCTTCCCACAAAATAGACCTCATGCTCAGCCGTGCCCCCTCCAGTCAATACCGTTCGTTCGGGGAACGGAAGATGGACGACCCAAAACCCCAAAACCCCAAAACCCCAAAACCCCAAAACCCCAAAACCCCAAACCCCAAAACCCCAAAACCCCAAAACCTCAAAACCCCAAAACCCGAAACCCTAACCCTAAACCCTAAACCCGAAACCCTAAACCCTAAACCCTAAACCCTAAACCCTAAACCCTAAACCCCAAAACCTCGGAGCGGCTCTTAGAGCCATGGCTCTCCCTTAGTTGAGGGCTTCTAGGGATTTGGCCCTAAACCCTAAACCCTAAACCCTAAACCCTAAACCCTAAACCCTAAACCCTAAACCCTAAACCCAAAGCCCTAAACCCTAAACCCTAAACCCTAAACCCAAACCCTAAACCCTAAACCCAAAGCCCTAAACCCTAAACGAGGGGGCTTGGGAGATGAGCCTAGGCAGCTTTTTGTTCTAGGGTTCAGGGTTTAGGGTTTAGGGTTTAGGGTTTAGGGTTTAGGGTTTAGGGTCTAGAGTTTAGAGTTCGGAAGGAAGGGGGGGGGCGGGTTCAAGGGTGATATGTAACGCAAGGTTCCCTAATAATCCCCACTACTCCCTAAGGCTCCCTAAGCTTCCCTCGGCACCTACTCCCCCCCCCCCCCCCCCCCCCATGAACCCCTCCCTTAAGAACCCTGCATTTTTTTTGCTGCTGCTCCCAAACCCTAACCCTGAACACCAAACCCAGAACCCTGTGGCCAAAATGAACTTAAACTTTCCGCCCAAGAAGCTCGTCTTGCTGGTAGGCCATGTACACGATCTCCGGATCTTCCTCCAACCCCAAAAGCATAGGGTTTAGGGTTTTAGGCTTCTAGGGTTTAGGGTTTAAGGGTTTAGGGTTGAGGGTCTAAGGGTTTAAGGGTTTAGGGTTTAAGGGTTTTTTAAGGGTTAAGGGTGTAGGGTTGAAGGGTTTACGGTAACATCGTAGACCCAACATACTGGAAGCCTAGGTGGATACGAAGCCTTCAGAACGAAAGCCCTAAGCCATAAGGCGCGACAGCCGAAGTAAAACTTAAAGTCTATAAGCTAGTCCTTAATAGGGATCATCTTGGCTGACTTCTGAACCCTCCTGAAAGTTTAGCTTTTAGGCTCCTTATTGTAGTTTCTACAAAAACCCCCCAAGGTTAAATAAAGTCTTAAGAGCCAGCCAGCAGAAAGCCAAGAAATCATAGGGGGTGCTATACTCATGGGGTTTAGGGTTTCGGGTTTAGGGTTTGAGGTTTAGGGTTTAGGGTTTAGGGTTTAGGGTTTAGGGTTTAGGGTTTAGGGTTTAGGGTTTGGGGACTACAAGTGAGGCCTCTTAGTATAAGGGGAACCATCCCAACCTAGCAGCCCTACGGCTTGACTCAAGGGTGGCCCCGTAAGCATATAAGGATAAGGGTTTAGGGTTTAGGGTTTAGGGTTTAGGGTTTAGGGTTTAGGGTTTAGGGTTTAGGGTTTAGGGACCCTGAACCAAAAGAAAAATGCAAAGGGGTACCACTGGGCTGCAAGGCTGTATCAACCTTCAAGCCTATCAGCCCTACATGCAGCTTGCAGCCTAAACCTTTAACCTTTAACCCTTAACCCTAAACCCTAAACCCTAAACCCTAAACCCTAAACTCCTAAGCCCTAAACTCCTAAACCCTAAATCCTCAACCCTTCAGCGAGATGCAGTGAAGTTACGGGCATATTGGCGTCAAAGCGGGAAGCAGTGCTTCAAATTGGCATCTTTGACCATGCTGAACTACCCTAAACCCCCTAAACCCTAAACCCTAAACCCTAAACCCTAAACCCTAAACCCCCAAATCAGCGAAAAGTTGGTCCTTGAGCTCATCCGCCACCTTGGCAGGGGGTTTTCTGAGCGTATACATGCAAGCTCCTGCCAACACTTCCTGCAAGCAACTCTTGCATCAATCAGGGTTTAGGGTTTAGGGCTTCGGCTTTAGGGTTTAAGGTTTGGGCCTTAGGGCTGAAAAGCCTGTGAATTGGAGCTCTTTCATGTCTTGGGGAGGAGAGGTGGCGCTGTATATCCTTGTCAACGTGAGCTGCTTACTGGCTGAGCCCCTTGGGTGTTTCGGGAAGTCACAGTCACAATTCAGGGTTTAGGGTGTAGGGTGTAGGGTACCTTATTATTATGTACTTGCCTATATAGCAAGTACTTTAGGCCCAAGTATTCCCCATTTAGGTACATGGATGGGGTAACACCGAGAGGTTTCGAAAACAGGCATCTGACTGCTCACTAGTGGCTGGTAGCAATCTGACATGAAACCAGCATGATTCTATAAGTACTCCGATCAATGCTCTTCATGGCTGGCTAATTAGACTCGTCCAACTGCAGACTCACGTGTGGAGTTGCGAAACAACAAAACTTGGACGGCAAACATCTCTGCGGAGGTCGCAGCCAGATGTTGCTAGTTACTGCTAGTTAAACTCTCAAGACCCTGCCCGCGTCAGCACGAGGGGAATTGCGAAACAACAAAACTTGGCCAGCACGCGTCTCTGCGGAGGTCGCAGCCAGATGTTGCTGGTTAAACTCTAAAAAAGACCCCGGCCGGGTCAGCCCTGATCCACGCTGCCTTGCTCCTTGGGGCGGTGAGGCCAAATGGCAAAAGCGCGCCCAAGCCAGAGGCTCAAGGCGATCAAAAGCAGCGTCGCTGCGAGAGAAAGCAGATAGTTGGCGAGACCGTCCTTGGCCATGACCACCTTAGTGGCCGAGAAACCATATCATAATAAGGGCACACTTTTTTGTGGGGTTAAGTAGTAACTTTCACGGCCAAAAAAAAGAGAAGGGTACCACTGGGATACAATAAGCCACCACCAAGAGCGAGGTAAAGGAGCTGCCCAGGAAGGAGAGCGCGGTGAGCAGAGATGCAGCTGTGCCTGCGATGTCTTCGATGCCCTCCGTGAATGCACAGACCGCAGAAATGAAGACGACCACGATCACCATCTCCGTAACACAGGTGGAGCCCATGAAGAAGGCCAAGCTCCGGTACCAGGCGGCAAGAGCCATAAAGGATGCTGACCTTGGGGGCCGTGATAACATGCTTAGCCCCCCCCCCCCCCCCCCCAAAAAAAAAAAGGTTACGTGACCTTTTTACATAAATAGTAGGGTTCTATATGATCAAAAAAAGGGTTATAAAGGTTGCCTTTTTAGACCAATAGTAGGGTTCTATATATGATAAAAAAAAGGGTTATAAAAAAGGTTATAAAGGTTACCTTTTTAGACAAATAGTAGGGTTCTATATGATCAAAAAAAGGGTTATAAAGGTTTCCTACCCATGTCCCTAAGCGACAGGAGCAATGGCCCCATGGAGGCATGGAGCATGGTGAGAGGCTCCCAGCGTAGCCAGTCCTCAGTTGCTGAGTTCATAAGCCACTCAAAAGGTTTAGGGTTTAGGGTTTAGGGTTTAGGGTTTAGGGTTTAGGGTTTAGGGTAGTTCTATAGGCGAGTATCGTATCCCAAAACGTGTAAAGCTCACTCAGCTGCTAAGACTCCACGATGTAGGACCCTAAGAATCCGGCGGGCGCGATGAGCGTGATGCACACGGAAGCATGGCCTTGGTAGCCCAGTAATCATCTGGGGGTTTCCGAACATAGGGGTACTCTCTCTCTCTCTCTTTTTTTTCCGGGGGGGGGGGGGCCTTTTAAGGGATTCTATTCTATTTTGGGGTATGAAGGGTACCCCTGTTCTTTTTTTGACATGCCCATATGGGTTACTTTATAAGGGCACCTTGGGGAAAAGGGAAAAGGGCACCACTGGGCTACGAAGTGGCGGATGGAGAGGTGCAGGTCCCTTTGCAGGACAATGCCGTTGCTGGCCGCCATGGCATCGAAAGTGGTCTTGACAAAGAGGTAGGCGACAAGGATCCTTAGTTGCTGAGTCCATAAGCCCCCTAAAAGGTGTACACTTTCAGTTCTGTGTCCCAAAACAATGTCACGTGTGCTCACTCAGCTACAAAGGATCAGGAAGCGACCTGGATGCAGGAGTGCACGGCGGGCACAAGCGCCATAGTCCACATTCACCGTCGGCGGAGCGCTTTCCTTGACCACCAGGAGGCTGAAGATGAAAAGGCAAACGGAGAGGCCGGGAAGAAGGGGCAGCGCCAGCCGAAAGCATCGGCCAGGAACCCCCCAGCCGCAGGACCGACGAGCGGGCCAAACTGCATAATCGCTGCCACGGAGCCTTGATACCGGATGCGGTCTGTCGTGTCCTGGGGGGCGAGAATATATATATATATATATATATATTTATATATATATATATTCATTTATTGTTTATTTATTTACAGTATATTTATATGTAATGTTATATGTATATATGTATGTGTATGTATATATGCGTACTGTTAAGGGCTCCTCGAAACAATCCGGGATGGTCGACATGACGACCGGCATCACGCCGGCTGCCGCCCCCTGAAAGATGCGGCCGACCAGGAACCAGGGATAAGTCCTCGCAGTACCTATACTGAACTTGGAACCCTCGCAAACATGATAATTTTCGCTGTTTCTAAGGAATTAAAGTACCCCCAAAAAAAATAAACCCTCAACCAAAACCCTAAACCCTAAACCCTAAACCCTGAACCCGAAACCCGAAACCCTAAACCCTAAACCCTAAACCCTAAACCCTGAGTATCCCTGAGGTACCACAGCACAGTGTGCTCGCAGCCAGGAGAGCCTGGCTTGAGAGGACCACGGGCTTCCGGCCGATTCTGTCAGACAGAGGGCCAAAAACCAGCATCGCAATGGCCTTAGGGTTTAGGGTTTAGGGTTTCGGGTTTAGGGTTTAGGGTTCAGGGTTCAGGGTTCAGGGTTCAGGGTTTAGGGTTTTGGGTTTAGGGTTTTGGGTTTTGGGCCCAGCAGCCATATTCTATTACTACTAATTGCTTAAGAACCCCGCACAAATTGAAAGTACTCTTCCTTATTAAGGCTAGATTATTGTATTTTCTATTCTTTTGGGATTCTGAAGCAAATAGTAGAATAAGGGTACCCTTTTTGGGTTCAGTTCCTTTATGAGGGAACCTTGAACCAACAAGAAGGGGAAGGGTACCGGTGGGCTACCAAGTGGCACAAGTGAGCAGATGGATCTGGATCGTGGCGCCCATGAATACTGGGGGAACCTTAAAGTCCTCAGCCATATATGGCATGCTCGGCTGATACTGGTCAGTGCAAAGGAAGTCCAGCAGAATCGTCGCACCAAGAGCGAATAACATGCTGCGCGACATCCCCACGCGCTGCTCACGCTGTCTGGCTTTCGAAGATCTGAGGGCAACAAGCCAAAATGCCAGGATAACAGCAGGGACTATGCCAACCACCAGCTTCGGAACTGTTTGTAGCAGAGACCAGTCCTTCTGCGTCTTCCGCGCCTTATGCGCCTGTGCTGACATCTGGACGAGCATTGTACCGAGCTCCCTTCCACATTCACCGTCGAGTCCGTGGTCAGATGTCCAGGATGAAGGACCTCGGCTTTAGGGTTTAGGGTTTAAGGTTTAGGGTTTAAGGTTTAGGGTTTAATTAAGGTTTAGGGTTTAGGGTTTAGGGTTTAGGGTTTAAGGTTTAGGGTTTAGGGTTTAGGGCTTAGGGTTTAGGGTTTAGCAGACTAGGCCTGCCAGCTAACTAGTCGCTCACAAACACCACACCATGATCGGGCGTGTTTCGACCAAGGGGCTTTCATGGCTACAGTTCTGCACCATGACGCCGGCAAGACAACTTAGGTGGAAGCGCGCGGCTTGTGTCGCGGTTGACTTCCCACACGTTGCTTGAACACCAAATATCTGCAGATAGGGTTTAGGGTTTAGGGTTTAGGGTTTAGGGTTTATAGGGTTTAGGGTTTAGGGTTTAGGGTGATAGGACAAAGGCCACGAAGATCAAGAATTGTCACGAACATGCGGCAAGCAACACGTCGTTGAAACATGCCCCTACTCGCCCTGCCCGCCTAAGCCCTCAGGAACCTAATGGACACTCCAACTCTCGCCATATGTCTTCCTCGGCCTACACCCTACACACTAAACCCGACACTGCAATGAGCCCCAGATTAACATGCACACGGTTCTCCATGCCTCTACCTCATGAAGGGTTCCTTGTTCTGCTCTTAAGGATCAAGGGGTTCAACATCTGCAGACCTTTAGACGCCTGGCCGGCTAGGGTTTAGGGTTTTATGGTTTATAGGGTTTAGGATATAGGGTTTCGGATTTCTGGTTTAGGGCTGGGGTTTAGGGTTAGGCCTAGGGCTAGGGTTAGGGCTAGGGTTTAGGGCTAGGGGCCTGGGGTTTAGGCATTTTTGCGTCATGGGGCTGTGGACTTTCAGCGCAGGGCTTGCAACCCAGCACCTTCCTAAGCCGCTAAAACGCAAAACCTACTACGGCTTGTTGAGGGAACCCTAAACCCTAGCCCTAAACCCTACCCCTGACCCCTGACCCCTGACCCCTGACCCCTGACCCCTGACCCCTGACCCCTAAACCCTAAACCCTAAACCCTAAACCCTAAACCCTAAACCCTAAACTCTCCTCAGGCTTGTTGAGGGAGACCCTCAACCCCTGACACTCCGCAGCTTCTGCCAGGATCCCCCACAAACTGGAGAGCCTCAGAACATCTCAGAACGGTGGTCGAACTGATGGGTTTAGGGTTTAGGGTTTAGGCTTTAGGGTTTAGGGTTTAGGTTCACGGCTAGGGTTTCGGGTTTATATAGGGTCTTAGGGATACCAGAATGGAGACCAAAATAGGGACCCGACTTCTCATTTCAATCAGGGCTTCAGTTGTGTAGCCGCGGTTTAGGGTTTAGGGTTTAGGGTTTAGGGTTTAGGGTTTAGGGTTTAGGGTTTAGGGTTTAGGGTTTAGGGTTCCCTAAACCCGTTTAGGGTTTAGGGTTTAGGGTTTAGGGTTGAGGGTTTAGGGTTTAGGGTTTAGGGTTTAGGGAAGTTGCTTGGTGATTCGCTTGTGTGGATGGCGATTCGGGGAGGTTTCCCCACTTCTCCAACCTATAATCCTCGGTGCGTAGAAGGGGCTTACAGGTGGGTAGGGTTTAGGGTTTAGGGTTAGGGTTTAGGGTTTAGGCTTTGGGGTTTCGGGTTTAGGGTTTAAGGTTTATACACTTTCCTACAGCCCCAAGTATACAGAAAACACCGACATTGGGGTCAACAGTCTGCAAATGACACCTGCAGGGAATTATTGATACTTGTGATATAAACCCTAAACCGTAACTCTACAGCCTAAACCCTAAACCCTGAACCCTAAACCCTAGACCCTAGACCCTAAACCCTAAACCCTAAACCCTAAACCCTAAACCCTACGCCTCCCCAGCAGATGGCGGCAGTATGCTGTGCGTCGGTTCAGAGGGTGTTGCACAAGCAGGGAGCCAAGATGGGTCGGTAACGGGGAGCTGACTTGAAGGGCTTAGGGTTTAGGGTTTAGGGTTTAGGGTTTAGGGTTTAGGGTTTAGGGTTTAGGGCTTCGGGCTTCGGGCTGTGGGTTTAGGGTTTAGGGTTTGGTTTAGGGTACTTCGGCTCAAAACTGAAGAAGCCAGACGGAAGAGTTTTGCTTCCACAGCCACACCCTCTACCGAGACTCCAGACGGACAACGCCCTTCAATCTCAAACGGGCTTCGGGTTTAGGGTTTAGGGTGTAGTGTGTAGGGTTTAGGGTTTAGGGTCTTCTCCAGTAGCCCAAGGAATAACAAAGGTTAAATCTTTTCCTCCTAAATGAGAAAAGAAACCAAAAGTCTCAAGTTCATGTATTGGCTATATAACCTAGGGTAGCTAGAAATTTAACTTTTAGCTGCCTTAATAAGAAACCCAATAAACCCAAAAAAGGTAAGGATCTAAAGTTACAGTAAAGTACCACAAAGTAAAAAGGTAAGGATCTAAAGTTACAGTAAAGTACCACAAAGAAACCCAATAAACCCAAAAAAGGTAAGGATTTAAAGTTACAGTAAAGTACCACAAAGCCTAAACCCTAAATGTCAGAACCCCAAAAAGGTAAGGATCTAAAGTTACAGTAAAGTACCACAAAGCCCAAACCCTAAATGTCAGCTTGACATGGCCTGTGGGTCTTGGCGGATCGCCACACGCGCGATCTCCCTGTCCGCCCGCACGCGATCCGAGGCGTGCCTGTGCAACTCCAGCTCGACTTGGAGGTTCAGGGTGCTTAGTAGCCCAATTCTAAGGGTTTAGGGTTTAGGGTTTAGGGTTTAGGGCTTAGGGTTTAGGGTTTAGGGTAGTAACCCAATTATAAGTTTGGAAGTTCAGGTTACTCAGCAGCCCCGTTCTAAGGGCTTAGGGTTCAGAGGGTTTAGGGTTTAGGGTAGAAACCCAATTATAAGTTTGGAAGTTCAGGGTACTCAGTAGCCCAATTCTAAGGGCTTAGGGTACGGGGTTTCTGCGAACGTTTTCAAGATTCGCAGTTCGTCGAGCAGCATCTTGAGCGCTTAAGTCCACACGGTACGCGAACGGACAAAGCAGGACGAAGATGAGGTCAAGACGCGAGACAGAACAAAACTCCAAGGCTAGCCCTATACAGTGACATCCGCAGGCGCCCGAGGCGGAACGGTGGCGGCGAAGCTCCCAAGAGCCGAGGGGGTGTAGGCTTTACTGGGTTGAGGGTTTATGGTTTAGGCTGTTCGCTGCGGCACTTGGTACGTTACGTCCGTGCTGTTGAGAAGGAACGACAACCCGGGATATCATCTAGGTAAACCATAAACTCGAGACCCCAAACCCTGAGCCCCTAAACCTCTCAACCCGAAACCCCTTTCATCCGCCTTTGAAGTGCATTCTTCACGCGCTCATGGCACTGGCAGAACAAAAGAAACGTCTGAGGGCAGAGGGCGAAAGAGG